GCATAGAAAAAAAAATCATCTCAATCAGAATTCAAACAAAAAAGTTATAGCATTTTTAAAAATAGAAAAAATACTGTTCATTAATTTGAGTTCGAGTTTATGAATTCAAGTTGAAAAACTTGAACTCTTGTTTATTTCTAAACTTGAGTTCAAACTCAAATTTTACAAAAAAAAAATATGAACTTAAATAAAATTGTAACTCGAATTTAAATTTTTTCTGAGTTTCATTGTAAAAGAACAACCCTTTAGTATCTATTGTTGATGAAAATATTAAAAAGTTATTTTGAAAATAAACTTAAGAACAAAATTAAACCTTAAATGGATACTTACAATAATCCGACGTTCATATAATGCTTCACACGTGTTCGCACGTGTGCTTTAACTATTCTATATATATGTGGTGTATATATATATATACATATATATATACATTTGTTCTAATATTCGTTATACCTAAGTTGTTGCAGTGGTTGTTTGTAAAATTTCGTATCTGCAGATATTGATTGATCGGGGAATTGAAGGGCAGTGATAACTGATAATGGCCATCGCAGCCCCTGGGCAGCTCAACCTCCACGAGTCACCTTCTTGGGGATCTAGAAGTGTCGATTGCTTTGAAAAATTGGAACAAATTGGTGAGGGCACTTATGGGTGAGTATGCTTTTCCATTTATCCTTGCGACTGTTTGTTTGTTTGTTTTTTATGTAATTCCTCTATCATTAATGGTTGATTAATGCATATAAAGTTTTGGCACTCCTTTTTTACCTATGTCCAATTGTGAAATTTTGAAGCTTGTCTTCTACTTCTCGTTTAGTAGGGTATATGGGTCGGGTTTTATTCATCTTTTCGTTGTCAACGCATAGAAAAAAAAATCATCTCAATCAGAATTCAAACAAAAAAGTTATAGCATTTTTAAAAATAGAAAAAATACTGTTCATTAATTTGAGTTCGAGTTTATGAATTCAAGTTGGAAAACTTGAACTCTTGTTTATTTCTAAACTTGAGTTCAAACTCAAATTTTACAAAAAAAAATATGAACTTGAATAAAATTGTAACTCGAGTTTAAATTTTTTCTGAGTTTCATTGTAAAAGAACAACCCCTTAGTATCTATTGTTGATGAAAATATTAAAAAGTTATTTTGAAAATAAACTTAAGAACAAAATTAAACCTTAAATGGATACTTACAATAATCCGACGTTCATATAATGCTTCACACGTGTTCGCACGTGTGCTTTAACTATTCTATATATATGTGGTGTATATATATATATACATATATATATACATTTGTTCTAATATTCGTTATACCTAAGTTGTTGCAGTGGTTGTTTGTAAAATTTCGTATCTGCAGATATTGATTGATCGGGGAATTGAAGGGCAGTGATAACTGATAATGGCCATCGCAGCCCCTGGGCAGCTCAACCTCCACGAGTCACCTTCTTGGGGATCTAGAAGTGTCGATTGCTTTGAAAAATTGGAACAAATTGGTGAGGGCACTTATGGGTGAGTATGCTTTTCCATTTATCCTTGCGACTGTTTGTTTGTTTGTTTTTTATGTAATTCCTCTATCATTAATGGTTGATTAATGCATATAAAGTTTTGGCACTCCTTTTTTACCTATGTCCAATTGTGAAATTTTGAAGCTTGTCTTCTACTTCTCGTTTAGTTTTGATTTGATGTAATTTCAAGAATTTTTTTTTTTTTTTTGGAATCTTTGATTTGTAATTGCAGCCAAGTTTACATGGCGAGAGAAATAAAGACGGGAGAAATTGTTGCTCTGAAGAAGATTCGAATGGATAATGAGAGAGAGGGAGTATGTTCTTGTCTGGGTTTTAAATTTTTCTTGGTTTTGACTAAAAGGATAAAGAGGATGTCCCCTATTGGTTCTTCATTTATGGCTTCGTGTTTTCTAATTTTTGGTCTTGCCTTAACAAAATTTGTTGGTTCGTAGTTTGGCGTATGTGAAAAGGTTCAAAATGATTACAAATAATTAAGGATTAATCATTCTTTTTCATTTTGTTGAAGAAAATTTCTTAAGCTGCTTGTCATATGTGCGAATATATACCTTAAGTAGAGACTCTTGTTCGTTTGTCCTCAGTTTCCAATAACGGCTATACGCGAAATCAAAATTCTAAAAAAGCTTCATCATGAAAATGTAATCAAGTTGAAAGAGATTGTGACATCTCCAGGTATTATTCTTATGCTTTATTTAACTTCTTTGTTCACATCTTCATTTAAAGTCAAATGTTTCACATGTTTAGGTGGTATTTTTTGATTTTTTTCCATATCTCAAATTCCAATATTTTTTATTTCATTCAGGACCTGAGAAGGATGAGCAAGGGAGGCCAGGCAAGTATTTGCTTCGTATGCGCAGTATAGCTATATTATGATCTCTATTTTTTATATTTTTCTATCAACTTTGCTTTGTCAAAATATTTGTTGTTTGAGGCTGGAACCTCATTAATGATTCTATCAGTTTTCTGGGAGTTGCAGATGGTAATAAATATAAAGGAGGCATCTACATGGTCTTTGAATACATGGACCATGATTTAACAGGTCTTGCTGATCGGCCCGGGATGAGATTTTCAGTTCCCCAGATCAAGGTATCACAAAAATCGACTTAGGCTGGTCTACTCTGTTAATATAATTTGAATGCAGGGCACTGCTTATCTTCCGTTCCTTTCTTTTGTTTCGACAGTGTTATATGAGGCAGCTATTGACAGGTCTTCACTATTGTCATGTAAATCAAGTGCTTCATCGAGATATTAAAGGTTTCATATTGAAACTAGTTATCGTTTTTTGTTCAATCTACATTCGAGGTTAGGGCAACAAAATGACATTTTACGACTGTACTGCAGGCTCTAATCTTCTTATAGACAACGAAGGTAATCTGAAGCTTGCTGATTTCGGGCTTGCTCGCTCTTTCTCAAATGATCACAATGCAAATCTTACAAATCGCGTTATTACCTTATGGTATAGGTAAATGAGTTTAATTCTTCTAATGGAGAGTTTTGATATAATTAAATCTTTTTTTTTATTGTTTTTCAAGTGGCTACTACCCATGTAATAATACCTGACCGAAATAGCAAAAATATACTTTAAAGGGGGAATTCTTTGGTTGGTCATGATTTTCTCTGTTTATATAGACCTCCAGAGTTGCTGCTTGGGACAACCAAGTATGGTCCAGCCGTTGATATGTGGTCCGTTGGTTGCATCTTTGCTGAACTTCTTCATGGAAAACCTATTTTCCCTGGGAAAGACGAGGTAAAAGATGAATTCTTTAGATGAGATGAGAATTTCATTTCCTTTTCTCATCCCGTGAACGGTGAATAGTTTGCTAGGCCTGGTATGGCGGTAGATTTCTATCAAAACATATCTATCTGTGCACGTGTTCTGGAAGTTTCGGTTATAGATGTTAGTTTGAGACCCTTGAAGTCGTATTGGCATTAGTTTCAGCACTTTTCGGGTGCAAATGAACTTAATGCCATTCGCAAGGCATCGTAAAATAGATTATTAATATTAATAGAAAAAAGGTCCCAAGACAAAATGAAACTCGAATGCCCCAATATACAAGTATTTCAGCACTTTTCGGGTGCAAATGAACTTAATGCCATTCGCAAGGCATCATAAAATAGATTATTAATATTAATAGAAAAAAGGTCCCAAGACAAAATGAAACTCGAATGCCCCAATATACAAGTCATAACATGTACAAATGACAACATGCCTGGTTGATTTCTACAAATTCATAAATCTTAGCATTTGGGTAAGCTCGTCATAAATGCTTTCTTCTTTTTTACTATTGGGAGATTGATTGGGTGAGGAATCAATCTCTCATTCTTGCATCAAGGGACCATAGCCTTTGCCTACTGCTTGAATTATAGCACAATGTCAATTCTGTATCCATACATGCATGAAGGTTGATAAGTATGATGTTTCAGTCACATGACTAAGATTTTTTTGCATTTGTGTTTCAAAACTTCTTTGCTAAGTGAAACAGTGTATTGAACTTCCTATAAAAGTATGTTGTATGGAGAAAAACATGAAAATTGTAATCCTATAATTTAAGCATATTGTGTTTTATAGTGGCAATTTTCCTATTGTGTATTTCTGGCCAGTTTAATTAAGCCCTTTATAATAATATTTAGTAATAAGTTAATGGGGACGAACTTAATATTTTTGTTTGTGATTATTGTAGCCAGAACAATTAAACAAGATCTTTGAGCTGTGTGGAGCTCCAGATGAGGTAAACTGGCCCGGGGTTTCAAAAATTCCCTGGTATAACAACTTAAAGCCTACAAGACCGATGAAGAGACGTCTAAGGGAGGTTTTCAGACAGTAAGTGATTCTTGTCTAACGCAGCATTCATTCTATGCTGTCCAGTTGAACACGTCTCTATAGTTAATTCATGACTTGTGTTTCGGCTCATTGTTAACGCAATTTTCTATTTTGTTAATGGGGTAATTTTCGTCTATTTTTGTTTGAAGTCCTTCCTTTATCTATGATAATCCTGTATGTCGGTTATGTGGTTATGGGATATAGTTTTGGTTTGAACTTTGAAGTGTAATAAAGGGGCCATCAATGATAGAAAAGTATGCTTAATGTAATTGTCAAGCCTCAAGCCTATATATTTTCTATGGGAGGTTTTGGTTCCGTCAAATGAGTATACCATCCTTTTTTATCTCCTGAGCGTTTCTTTTCTAGATACGGGTTCTGTATCGACTTGTGTATACCTTAACTTCTTCTGTGTTATAGCTTTGATCGCCATGCTTTGGAGTTGTTGGAGAGGATGCTTACGCTCGATCCTTCTCAGGTATCGTCTCCTTATTTAATGGAACTTACCGAGCTCTGATCTGACAATATTGGGCGAATTTTAACTCACCATTTCTGCTCTTGCCTTTCTATTATGTGATATAATGTTTGTCATTTATACTATTATGCTTTCGATTTGGTTTGTGCTAAAAGATAATTAACAGGAAATAAAGTGGTGTGCTCTGAACTTGGTTCTAACCTGTTTTCTTTGCTGTATTACAGAGAATATCTGCAAAGGATGCGCTTGATGCAGAGTATTTCTGGACCGATCCATTGCCTTGTGATCCGAAGAGGTTTCGACCACTTGAATTTTCAATTCTACTTTTATCCGCTTTTAGGATGATATTTGGTCACCTACTGTGACTTAAACTGTTCCTCATACATTTTTTGTATAGTTTACCAAAATACGAATCGTCACATGAGTTCCAGACAAAGAAAAAGCGCCAGCAGCAACGGCAGCATGAAGAAACAGCAAAACGTCAAAAACTGCAGCACCCCCAGCAGCACGGCCGCCTCCCACCTATTCAGCAATCTGGTCAAGCCCATGCCCAAATGCGTCCAGGACCAAACCAGCCCCCAATGCACGGTTCTCAGGCTCCGGTTGCTGCAGGGCCTAGTCATCATTATGGGAAGCCTCGTGGGCCCTCGGGAGGGCCAGGAAGGTATCCCCCTAGTGGCAACCCTGGTGGGGGTTATACTCATCAGAATCGTGGGGGACAAGGTGGAGGGAGTGGTTACAGTAGTGGGCCGTATCCCCCACAAGGCCGTGGGGCACCCTATGGGTCTAGTGGCATGCCCGGCGCTGCACCACGTGGTGGAGGGGGAAGTGGGTATGGAGTTGGCGCTCCTAACTACCCACAAAATGGTCCCTATGGCGGTTCAAATGCTGGTCGTGGGTCGAACATGATGGGCGGAAATCGCAATCAGCAGTATGGTTGGCAGCAGTAGCACAAGTTCTGTTGATTTACAAGGAAGAGTCTTTCGACGGAATTAAAAGAAAGAGCGCGGCTGCTCGAGAAATTATCAAGTGTATGCGTGTAGATATACGATTGATTTGCTGGCAAAATTTGCTTGCAAGGGGATGATAATTTCACCGGTAAATGATATCAGGCTCTATTAGTGCTGTACTCTTGAGTCATGAAACTGAGCTTGTGCCAACGCTTTATTTAAAAGAATTCAGTTAACCGTTTATTTTAATTTTTATGAGTGTTATATTTAATTATATAAGCTCTTGTGTTTTATTAAAATCATCTTATTATTTAGTTTCAGCAGACTGATGATTACACCCTCTTTTTTTTCCCTCTCTCAATTCCTCTTCCCCTGTTTTTGTTAATGATATTGGGATTAAATTATTTAATTGCGTTTCAGGTGTACTGTAGTGATTGTTTGTGATTAAATTAAACTACGTCAACCTTGAATCTATATCTATATATCTAATCTAATATAAACAAACATAAAAAAGACATGATTTTCTCTCCACTCTCCACGCGCCAACTCCAAATTCTTTTCATCTTTCTTCTCTCCTTTTTATTTTCTTCTTTTTCCTTTCTCGGTTTGAGTTCACTAAATCCTTATTACTAATTTTGTACGTAAATATATTATTAAATGAAAGAAAGAATTATTCCCTACTTAAACATGCCCTTAACGTTCCTGGTTTGTTTCTGAAAAATTGATGTGAAAGTTGCTGAGTAAAGCCGCCTATCTTCTGTAGGAGTCCTAATTTAAGAGCCCGTTTGGTTCATAGATTAGAACTATTTTCGATTTACGTGTGTTTTTTGTGAGAGAAAATACTGTAGTGAACCATGAACCATAATTCGAATTAGAGAACGAATCCTCCAACTAAACGGGCTCTAAATATGATACTAAGATATGAGTACAAGCCTAATTATAAAACCCCCATAAAATAAAAATAATAAAAAAAAAGTCCTATTCTAAATAAAACATCAACAAAGTAAAAACAATGTCCTAATAACACACAAACTCCCGATTACATTCACGTCCTAGATCCAGATAATTATGCATTTCAAGCGGTATTAGTTTCTATCAATATTTCCAGGAACAACCAGCAAATTAAAGTGATAAAGCATCTTAATCAATGCTCCTCAATGGAAAACACACTATGCAACAATACAGATATACATATATATATATATATATATATATGTGCACGTATATATAAGAATAACTTAAACCTGTAGCTTCATATTACAATGGTAATTTGATTTTCAAGTGATTCATATTACAAGCTTTCAACAGGGCTCGTACTTCCTTGTTCAGGGTTGAGGGCTGTTTTTCGAGTTACGTATTTCGCTCCTTAATCTGCGCGTGATTATCTTAGCACCTGTTTGGTTTACGGTTAGAATCACAATTCAAACATAATCGTGTTACGCGAGAAAATGCATCTGAACATTGTGCTTGACTAAGGCCTCGTTCACTTCGCGGATTCGAGTTTTCAATTCGAGCTGAGATGTGACATTTTTTTAGAGTTTGTCACTGTAGCAAAAAAAGCTAGATGTGACATTTTCTGATAGCTTTTTACTGTAGAAACCTAAAACTGAAAACTCGAATCGGTGAAATGAATGAGACCTAAGATTCTTAGCTAACAACTGTACACACAATCAATCAAGATAAAGATAATTAAATGAGAAGCAAATATTCTTTTTTACATGCAAACACTAAATCCCTACCATGGAAAACAAAATGCCAAGTAGGTCTCCAACTTGTATAAGAGAGAATTCTTTCTGAATAATTGCATTTCAAAGAACCTAAAGATATAGCCAAAATGGGCAAAAGGAAAAGTAAATTGATTAGAACTTCATTTTAGAGCTTACTTAGACAACTTGTATGGAACAGTAGTATCGAAGCTGTATATTATACACAACTCTCTAATTGATAGAAAGATATGAGAAAGTTGTCAATTGGACATTTTCTCATGACAAAGAGACAAATGACTCTATGCTGTTCATGGAGTCTTCTCGACTTGAATCCTGAACCTGTGCTGCAAATTGCAGAGTCCAGAGGATATCTTCAATGGAAGGCCTGTCGGCCGGCTCATTCGACAGGCACCTCACGCATATCTCCATCATTGTCTTCAACGATTCATCAGAGCACTGTTTGTGTCTTCCGACCGGTATCATCGGTTGTTAGGCTTACTCTTAACTGCAAAAGGTGTGAAAGCGTATTCCTAGCTTGGTTAGAAACAGAAAAAGAAATTGCATGCTTAAATCAATGACAGGGCTTAGTTATGACTTATGAGACTGTGTTGTGCATGCTTACAAGGCCTTTAATCATATAAATTTGCTTAGACGTCGAAGGAGAAAACTTTTTGAGAGCTATCTTTGATTGATATGGTTTTAAAGGGTAAAAAAGTCCTATCGTTCAAGAAATGACACTTACAAGGTCTTTTAGATTTCCAACTTCGTGGTAGAAGACAACCGGCCTTCCCAGAATGATTTCTAGTAAGATGACTCCTATGTCATACACATCATTCTTGTCCTCTTGTTTTATGCTGCAAAACAACAAACCGGATTGGAGAAACAAAGTTAAATATACATATAGATAAAGTTACAGATAAATGTTTTTAGGAGTGTGTGTATAAAAGTGGAAGCTGGGATGGGAATGGGAGGATTAGTGGATAGTTTTAAGAGTTGTGTTTCTTAGATTGGGAGGATTAGAAGAGGGAATAAGGGATTCAAAAGGCCCATTTGGTTCACGTGTTCAAGTTAGTGATTCTGATTCATTAGCGGGATCTTTGTGAGAGAACCATTAGTGGAAATTTTTGAATTCAAATTCTTGTGAAGAAAACATTGTAGCAGAATCAATATATTTGCCAAACGGGCCCAAAACTTTTCACACTCAATTTTGAACCTTCCAAAGTAGGTCACAGTAGGGAATCCATACCAAACACAATAAGAGAAAGGTCCTCTTTTGTCTCTCCAATTTTCGGCACCTAGGTTACATAATTTTCCTTTCTTTCTTTCATTCTTACCAAACACAAGATATGAATTCCTGGAAGGATGTAGAAGTTATTACCTATCTTGAGCACTTCCTTTCAGTGTAGAGGAAGAAACTACAGGGCCCATCTGAAAGGTAAAAATGGATTCGAAAGAAAATATTGTTAAAGAACTGGTGATATATGTTCACCTAAATAAACAAATAAATAAAATTGTGTTTCTTCCATACCGTTCCTATATTTTCAGCTAAGAGAGGTAAGTTATAACTGCTTATTTTTACATGAAGATTAGTATCCATCAAAACGTTTTTTATCTTCACATTATTTGAGTATACGCCGGGAACGATTCCAGTGTGCAGAAACTGAATGCCTTTTGTAACTCCAATAGCAGCTGCAATTCTCTGTTCCCAATTAAGCTTTTGTCCTTGAGGAGCTGCCAAGAGAAGAAAATTGTGTCCATTCTTTTAATAATTAATGGTAACAGTAAAAAGTCAGGAAAAAAGAAGTTAACAAGAAACTCGACACTTATGACATGAAAACAGCGATGGAACGTAATCCTTACAACATAGTTTTGGATGATTAAAACCCATATTTCATATAAACGAAAGTGTTTAAATCTCAGAATATTGTCTAAACCTGCCTTCATTTTCTATGAAAGATCACAATGGTTACGTAGAAGGGCGAATGACAAGCGTGTTCTTTATAGACGTGATGAAAAAAAATTGCAGTATGGCAAATGGAATCTCTAACTGAGCATTTTCCTGATATATTTAACTGTGTCAATCACTTTACCTGAGATGAAATCTCTTAGTGTTCCATTGGGAACAAACTCAAATACAAGAAATATTCTGCTCACGCCTGAGTCATCAAGCTGGCATTCCAAACAGTGTCCAAGAAAGCTAACTAAATGACAATGTCTGATCTTTGATATCATCTCAAGGTGGTGCGTGTAAGCCGCCGGACTGCGCCTTTTTTTCATTCTCAAGCTTCTAATAGCGATGAGTGTTCCATCAGAGAGCTTGCCTCTGTACATCTGGCATCAGAATCGGAGCGAAACACGTTCTTGTGAAGCAGTAAGATCATATATACAACAGCATTACGGAAGACTAAAAGTACTTGAACCATTTTTCGTGTTTTCAATTCCAAGTATGCATTTTGAGGGTCAAGAAGAATATCATCTAACTCATAAATTTACAGAGTTGAAAGGAATCATTGGCCAGTTTCTCCTACATGGAATTATTTCTTATTTAATATTTAGAACAAGCGGGTGGGAAAAACATATTCAGAGAAAATTGCTAGCAAAATTGGTAAACCAAACTAGCCTTTAACAACATAGAATTCTTACTTGACTATTGGAACTTCCGCCCAACAAAGATGAAGCGTCAAAGTTATTAGTAGCTTCCATAAGCTCCTCCAAAGCAAATGTTCTATAGGAAGGAAGAGAAGCTCCCAGCTTCATCGTCTCTGATATATATTCTGCGACAGAAGAAGGACGAGAAAAGAAGAATTTAAGCCGCATTACTTTGCTTAAGTATTTATAAAAAGCTACCAAAATGTAATAAAGCCCATGATGATGAATCCAATCCTGTTGTATTAGCTAAATAATGATTATGACATTACATTACTTTACTTTGTCAAAATTCCAACCCCATTTTATGTTCGCCTTTAGTTTAGTTCAACTTTATATCCTCCCTTTTTTCTTTTAATCTGACACGATTCTGCACAGTTCAAAACTGTCTTTAACTTCTTTATTTTTATTTTATTTTTTTGTGTGCCACTCCTACCCTACCACAGAATTCTGAGGGGTATAATACATCAATAGAGAAAAACATAATGGCTCTGAAAAGCAATATAAAACAAAACAAACCATGAAAATACTAACTTTGTGTTGGTAAATTATGATTTGGGCCTTAAGCAATAATAAGCATGAAAGAGAATAACTACACATGTATGTGCATTATCCCCACAAAAGAAGGAAATAAAAAGACACAAGAGAAACAAATACAAAGAAATGTCCATTCCAATTTATGAACAAAAGAAGAAGAAAAAACTGGTAGAACTCACTTGCACTTGAAAGCATTTTAGCTGTGTTTACTGTTGAAGCATTCTCAGTAATCAACCTTGTTGAAGGCTTTCTGACACTATCCTTCCCATAAACCCTCTTAACAAGCATGGAAACCAGACCAAAAATTGCAACAACACCAACAATTCCTCCGGCCACACTTGTCGCAACAACTGGCTTATTATTCGGTACCTTATGCTTTTCTCTGTGAGGTATGACTTCCACTGCCAGAGCTTCATTGTGGCAAAACTCTGAGGGGTGTTGTTCCTGATCATCATCATTTGACAAACAATTCCCAGAATACATAACAACTTTGTTGTCCTCAGAACCCATCTTTAGACAAGAAGGTAACTTCCCCACCAAGTAATTTGAGGTCAAGTTGACAAATACAAGATCTGCACTACAAGACATGTTCTGCAAGAGCACTCCAGTGAACTTGTTGCCTGAAATTTCAAGATATCTAATGGAAGGAAGTGATAACAACAAGGGATAAAAAGGGCCCACAAAGCCATTTAGTGAAATGTCCAGCTTCTGAAGAAGATAAAACGAGCCTAGTTTACGAGGTATGCCTAATCGAAATTTGTTGTTTCTGAGCACAAGAGTGACTAGTTTTCTAGGCAAACTTGGGAAATGAGGCCCAAAGCTGTTGTCTTCGAGATCAAGAACTTGCAAATTTCTCAATTTACTCAAGTCAGGGACTTCCCCAGACAAATAGTTCTCTGACAAAGTGAGAACCCTTAGATTCTTCAAATCCCCCAAGGAATTTGGAACTGACCCACTTAGCAGATTGTGCTTCAAACTCAGCACAGTCAACATGGGCAGTGAATTAAGCCAAAATGGGACTTTCCCAGTGAAGTTGTTGTGGTCAAGTGTGAGAGTGTGGAGATTTCTCAAGTGAAGAATCTGCACAGGAATGTCTCCACTGAAGTAGTTAGAGCTCACATTGAGAATCTCTAAAGAAGATAAATGGCCTACGTTACCTGCCAGTGGGCCCCACAGACCAAGAGAAACCAAGCTGAGAACTTTCAAGCTTGAGAGCTTCACTAGAGCTGAGAAGAAAGAGTGAATTGAGAAATTCTGAGGCAGAGAAGGAAACCCTTTGTTGCCTATAATGTGAAGCTGAGTTATCTCTCCTTCGTAGCATATTAAAGTGAAAGATGAAGTTGGTTCTATCTCACAAAAGTTGGTGGTGTTTTTGAGGCTGCTAAGAGCTGGTGGGTAGTTCAGAAGCTTTTGGATTTTGAGTAGAGATTGGCTCTCAGAGAGTTCTAGCTCATTTGAATAGTTGACTAAAAGGAAAACCATTACCAAAACATGAAGATGATGAAGAAGAAGAGGATATGGTTTTGCCATTGGAAGGTTAATTTAGTTGCATTAGTTGTGCCTGAGAAAAAAAAAAATGAAAGGCTAAAAAGTTTTGACAGAAAGAAAAGCACCAACTTTTGTAGAAGTCGAGTATTATTGATGGTGTGAATAAGAATTGTTATGGATGGCTTTTTCTTTGCTTCTTCTGTTTTATTTTGTTGTTGTTGTTGTTATTCTTTTCTTTACTTTTTTGCAAACTGTGTTTGGTTCTTTTACATTGCTTGCTTGTGTCGTGTGAGTTCACGGGTTCCTTTCGGAAGACAACAAAAGAGTCAGAATCAGCGGTCATGAGGATAAAAGGGTTGAAAAGTGTCTGACGGATGGCAGAGTACGGAGTGAGACATGTGTATCGCTTGTTCGAGAAAGTGTCGTTTCACCTGTCATTTTTTTTTATCGTTTTTAAAATTTATTATAAATTTTATTAATATAATATATTATTATTTAAATAAAAAATAATATAATAAAATTTACGTGTCTATAAAAAGTGACAAATAAAATAATAATTGTTTGTACTAAGTTTAGCACATGCTATATTTAGTGGCAGCGCCACATTGTATTGAGTGTCACCCACTCAACTTTTAAAATTGGAAATGAAATTAACAAAGTTCATTTTGATATCTAAGTTGCAAGTTTATACAATATAATAAGGTTGTTTCTTTTCCTTTTTTTTTAATAATAGAATTCCGGAAAGAAATTACTCTCTCTCTCTCCCTAATCGACCAAGTTGAAAGGTAGAAGAAACAATGACATAGAAGGAGAAACTACCGCACACTTCAAGAGTGTTTGGTACGAGGATTCGTGTCATAATTCGAATCATAATTCGTAACTCAACAGTATTTTCTCTCACAAAAAACACACGTAAATCAAAAATAATTTTAAATTATAGTTTTAAATCTGTAAACTAATGTGGTGTTTGGTTCATGGATTCAAATCATGTGATTAGAACTATTTTTTATTTACGTGTATTTTTTATGAGAGAAAATACTGTAACAAATCACGAACCATGATTCGAATTAGAGAACAAATCTAGGTACCAAACGAACTCTAAACGTCCACTTGATGGAATATAATTATAAATAGAGCACATAAATCAATAAGCTCTCCCTTCAAAATAAATAAATAAATAAATAAGAAGCTGTCTGAAAGCAATGACGACTTTGGAAGCAGATAGCTTCCATGGAATCCCACGTTATATATGTACTTGTGTGTAACTATATATACACCAAAAATTTTAATACGACTTATATAATAAAAGTCCTTCGAAGTTTATATATTTTATGTACAGGTATATTCTGCTACAAGGTGTCCCAAGTAATTTAATGTGGCATAAAACAGAGTGCAATAATAAATGTTGGCATCTATATAAAAAAAAAAAAAAAAAAAAAACTGACACATATACCAAAGAGAAGTATATAACATATTTGATTGTTTAACGAAAGTTCCAAACTATATAAAAATGAAAGAAAAATATTAGCCTGGCCAAGCATGTGTCCTCTGGTCCAAGATGGCTAAATAATAATGAGCCATATTCATGTGGGTTTGAGTAGGTTCATGTTTCTAAAGGCTTAATGGAATTCCTTAAAACATCTTTTTTATAACAAAAAATACCGGGGAGGCGGCAACCAATGCTAGTATATCCACTCGTGTCCGTTTGGTTCATGGATTAGAACTATGAGATTAGAATCATTTTCAATTTACGTGTCTTTTTTATGAGAGAAAACACTGTAATAAATCATGAATCATGATTTAAATCGAGATACGAATTCCCTAACTAAATAACCCCTAAATGTTATTAGAGGAGTCTCCTAAACACTAATAAGAATATTAGTTGAATTTCAAAGCCTTACAAGCGGGCCCTACTAGACAAAGAATGTTCACTGAAACAACTTGATAGAGTTGATTAATATAGGTTGAATTCTATTTTGTGGTAATTAGGTTTCGTTTTTATTATAGTTAAAAGTTTTAATAAAAAATCACATTTAATTTTTTTATTATAGTTAAAAAATTTTACATATTAACTTGATGAACGTAACAAGACCTTAGTTTAAAATTCCAACCATTGAAGTCGAAGATAAAGAGAGTAGACACAATTACTGAGCCATTGCTTGCTTAAGAACTTCCCATCAGCGTCAAATTGCAGCTTCCAGCTTATGCTCATTTTGGTCTACGGTTGAATTATCTGAGTCTTGTCATGAGATTGCAGAGAAATTTTTGTTGAAAAATTAGGAACTAGCCGAAGCTAAAATTCAAATCAATCAATTCTCATGGAGAGAAATCCAATCGTGGAAAATGACAACTGTGAATTATATGGCAGTGTTATGCAATTGAGAAAACAAACAGGAAGAAAAAAGAAAAAAAAAAACAAAAATGAAAAGGGGAAAGCGTTTGTCCTATTTAGTAGACTGATTCTCACATCTGAAAAGTCACGGGTGTCTTAAAAGAAGTAGGTCCATTATACGGATACAAGCAACGAGTTAAGGAATGAATTTTTGTAACACTTTCTAATCTTATATATATATATATATATATATATATATATATATATATAAAAGAAAAAACCATATTGGAAATGTCACAAATAAAATGTTGATTAACAATGATGCAGAGTTCTTAACCAATGCCAATAAAAAGAAGTAAAATCTGCAATGAGTACTCGCGTAAAGTTCGTCGGAAAATATTTAAAAGAAATTCTGAAGAGTGTATCCATTGTGAGTTAGCAAAATTTAAAGAGTGCATGGATAGTAAATCGCCTCTAATGCCCAGATTATTAATGATTAAACTTTATCTTGGTGTGTGCAAAAGCAGACTTTATTTTATCATGGAAATAAGGTCAAGATGCGTTTTGTTTATCTATTTGTGGATGTTCTATATATCTGTTGAAACGTAATATCTATAAATACAAATAAACATCTTTTCAAGCAATAAGGTTTTTTTCTTGCCAACTTTTAATTTTGAGAAAACTCTTGATTAATACTCAATTGACTAATATAGTTATTTGACTAAAAGGATATTAATCAAAAGTAAAAGTTAAAATTTCATATCCACACATTTTAAGTAGTATTTGTCTCCCTTTCTCAGTATAAAATTTGGGGCTTTCTATAGGGACGAGTGTCGGGAGAAACGGGGTCGGGCATGCTTCCCCCACCCCCGACCCCTCTTTCACTTTTGCCCCCTATATATGCTCCATACCCACCTTATTCAGGGTCGGGGTCGGAATCGGAGAATCCCTGTTGAGGAGGCTTCCACGATACCTTACCCATTACCCATAAAAAATAAAATATTTACGATATTATTAACACTTAAAAATAAATTTATCAAATAAATATAAAATTCAACATAATATTAATATCCCATGAAAACAAACCGAGGTTTCAAAAGAAAATCCAACCTTTAAAAACAACTAATCGAATCTCAAAATCGTATGAAACCATAAATTAAAAACTTAATCCAAGACCTAAATAATAAATTAAAGTCTTCAAATAAAAGATAGAGGCAATAGCGTGTAGGTTAGGGTTTAGGTTAGAAAAAGTTACTATTTATAATATTAATTTAGAATCAATTAGGTTTTTTTAAGAGGGTAAAATAGTTAAATAATTTTAAAATCTTTGAATCCCATTTAAAATTACGCAGATTATATACACATTATATATAAATATATTTGTCTGAAAAACATTTTTAAAATGTGTATATGTATTGGAGTGGGAGTGGGGTGGAAGTGCTTCCCCAGCAGCCGCCCGACCATCCCATCCCTATTCGAGGTAGGTACCCACGAATAAAAAGCTCATCTCTAGCTTTCCAATTTTTTTTTTTTCACATTTCTAATGTATATAAGATTCTTGATATGTAATATGTTGAATTCGTTAAATGATCGGTTTTTGTAGGCACCATTCACTTTACCGATTAAAGTTTAAAATTTGAGTTTTACTACAGTAAAAAATTCTTAGAAACAGTCACATCTAACTTTTTTACTACAGTAAAAAGTTCTCACATAAAATCACATCTCAACTCGAATCAGCGAACTAAATGGGCCCGTAATGTATTGGCTTGTTTTATTTCCTAATTTTGTAAGATAAAGGGCAACTTTCTCTTTAAATTTCAATTTTGAATAAGAGATTGCCTCCTCGATGAATGGACCTATTTATCGGATCCTAGGTCGAGAGCAAGGCTCGAACCCGCTTTCAAAAAGCGTGCACAAATCTTTTCACAAAAAAATGCCTATTATATTTTATTTTTGCTAAAAATGGGTAACTAATTTTATAACAATTTTTTTTTTTTTTTTAAAAAGTGTTGAGCATTTTACATTTACAACCAAAACTTAACTATGAGTACATAGCATTATCCTTGCCATTCAATCTTCAAGCAGATATCTGTTTCTTCTAGCACCGAAAGCAAGTCTCTGCACAGTCATGGAAACAAGGCAAGGGGTATATATAAGTAGCTTGGACTTTTTGACATATTCTTCAAGGAGGGGAGAGAGAGAGAGAGGGAGAGAGAGAAGAAAAGAAATGTTTGAACTTACTGAAAATATCTGAGAATAGGCTTTCAACCCAGTGAGGAACCGAATATAAGTAGGCTTCATGGATCGATTTGCAATGATGGATCTTATGTTTGGAACAAGATATTCTGCAACCTGAGAACAAACCCAACTCAAAAAATTGTTATTAATGACAAGACAACAATCAGATCATAAAACCCTTTTAGAACAATAATCAGATTAAGAAAATTGTCAACAAAAATCAGATTGATAAAGTTGAAGAAGAAAGAAAAAAAGATAGATAAAGATTTTCTAAAAAGATGTCATATTGAGCTTTCTTTCCCTTTAATAGAGTTTCCACTCGAAAAAAAAGGGAAAGAAAAAGAAAAACTATTTCCCAGTTTTATCTTGATATTCTACTGTGTTGTGACAATTGTGTTGGCAATAAGGAGATTTCTTTCGGTATAAATGCTACAGTAAAAGTTATGTAATGAAAATCTGATTTTCTGAAGTATTACTTTAACTAGACTATTGAAAGTTTAGCATCAAGCCCTTACTTGCACTTCATTTGGTAGGAAGGAGACAAACAAGATGGACAGGAGAAATGAAGGGAAAGAAATGAGAATGACGAAAAGAATAATGTTACTGCTGTACATCTTTTGGTTTGTATGACATGAAAGAAAGAAACAGAGTTATGTTTTCTCTTGTTTGGTATTGTTTGTAAAACTGAAGGGGTAGAAAAGATGTACTACATAGGCAAGCTATGATAATGTATGGCTATGGAGTAAAAAGCATAGTTAAAGACGGAACGCTCGTACAAGTTTCTTATTGTTAACAACAACTAGGTATGAACGATTCTATGGCTCGTTGAATACGAAGCACACGATTGCTAAGTACAAGGAAAACATCCACAAATTCCCTGCCCAAAAAAAAAATATAAAAATAAAAACAGAGGCTTACCACTTCAGCAGGTTCGGCCAAAACATTGATGAAAAACTTGGCCTGCAAGAAACAAAATCATCTATCGTTCCTCCTTCAAGAAGTACATATAAGAAGAGGCATAACAAAAATAATAAAATATCCTACTCAACCTGCTTTGTTGTAGCACCAGACATAAGAAGATCAGTGGTCACCATTCCTGGCTGGAAAACACCACAAGGAAATGATTAAGTATACAGGTTTCGCAACAAAGAAACAACACGGCCCTAGAAAGACAACCAAAAATAGAAGACCAACAATTGGGTGAAGCTTAAATTTTGCCTGTGCATATATGATGGCAGAGCCGCAGAAATCTAACCCAATCCTCACCAATGACTCGGTCATCTATTGAAAATCAAAAACCTAGGAAAGCCACCTGCCTCAACGACCTTACCTGATACTGGTTACTCAGGATGTGGTCTTTTGATAAGCACCAACGAAAACTGTTTCTTGCCTTATCCCTTAGTGGGAAGAAAGACAAGAAGTCATTTTCCTTCATAAATAACCCTAAGAAACATGCAAACTTCTTTCTGGCAGCCAAAAAACTCCTGCCAACGTTTTCTCCTCATGTCCGCCACTAGACATTCTCTTCTTTGTTACACTATTGAGTAGTACTTGGTTAGATGTTCATTGAGGATCTACTTTCTTCCACTTTTCAGCTTCATTTCATAAAGGTAGGGATGGTTCTACTTTGAAGGTTGTTTTCTGGGTTACCACCATAACACTGCCTTGACTTGAGCATATTCTCACTTGCTGGTATATTGAAGTTCTTTTACTACCTGGAAGTCTTCAGTTGTTCTCGACTTCTAGGTAGTAAAGAATGAGATGGCTAGAGTCGTTTCAAATAAGATATGGCCAGTCATGGGAAGTGTGTTGTGATTTCTCTGTTTCAGACAATTTGGATGAAAAGAAATGCTAGAATTTTTTAGGAGTGATTGAAACGGTGGACTTGTTTGAAAAATCAAAATTTTCTGCTTCCTTGTGGGAGTATATTTCAGATCCCATTCCTGGGTGGTATACATTATAAAAACTTGATCTTGAGGACTAAATAAATATAAGCATAATCAAGGGTGAATGCGTTAACGGGTGCAGAAGCCCCATCACGAAGCCTGTAACCACACTGGCCAAATTAGTATGATCTATGATCTCAGAAGCCCATTGATGTTTAAAGCATCAATTGGTTTTCCTTACCCAAAAACAAAACAAATACTACTACTACTACTACTGTTACTATTACTATTTCAAAAGGCAACATATACAAAGTTCTCTGCAATCATTTAGTTATCAGATTTCCTTCTAAATTTGGCGTGCAATAACACCAAAGCCCAAAGGTTTGAAGCTTAATGTGTTCTTTTTTTTTTTTTTGACGGGTGAACGGAAAAAGAATAATGCCTGAAAATATGGAAGAACGTACAGACAGATTATGAACTACAACATTTCTGACATCTTGCATCTGCAACTCTGCCTGCAAAATAAACAAGCCGGGTATTATAGGGTTAAAGAATGTGCGTGAACATGAGCATTGTACATTCAGAAACAAGCTCAAATTTACTTGAACATGAGCGAGAATTTGAAAGAGACCTCCTAACTCATTTATATGACATGATAAGGCTGACTATGACTCAGTTTAGGATAGTTGTGCTCTTGAATAAGCACCACTTTTACGTGTAGAAAAGGCAGAAGTAAAAACGTAAGACAAAAGCTAAAAATCTAGCTTCTCAAAATAAACGTAAAAGTTTGCTGGTGTCTATGAAAGTCTTTCGTACACTTTTTACCAAACACACTTCTTGCAGAATTATCCACGTAAAGTGCTTTTAGATACTCCAAAAGCAATACTAAACTGACGCTATATTACATTAGTAGACCTCCTAAAGTCCTAATTGTATGAAATCGGGAGTCTAATCACAATGAAAGAAACCGCAAAACAAATTTATTTGAACTTTAAACTATAATCCTTTGAGTCCGCAAACTCTACAGTCAGAAAGAAAATCGGCTTTATTTGAACGTCCAAAAATGTGATGCATACAACATGAGTCCAATAACAATGAAAAGCAAATACAGACAGTCAGACAAAATAGAACAGAGTTCATACATCACAGATCAACAAGTAAACTATAATTCTTTATATAGCGTAGATAGCTGTCAAGTTACAGCAACAACATGAATAAACAAAATAACTAAACAAATAAGGAAAAGCAACAGAGATCAAAACGTACATCTCAGTGAAAGAAGTCAAGTACCTGCAATGATTTTGTTAAATGCACCACGCTGCGTTTTGTTGCCCCATATGCAGCAAACCTATAAGAAAAAGCAAAAGAAGAAAAAATATGATCGCTCCAAAGAAATACACATTAAGAAACTAGTAAATTATTTGTGCCTCGGCATGAAAATAAAAGAGAATAAACTAAAATGCACCTCGGGGTTGGTCTTCCGTCTGAACCTGCTCCATCTATGTTAAAAATATGTCCCCCTCGAGGCTGGTTCAGCATCATCTTTATTGCCTGAACAGAGGAAGCAACCATCCATTAGAATCAACCTAAAGAGACACTAAGAGACAGAAGAGAGAGAGAGAGAGTTTTACCTCTCGGCAGCAAATCATCAACCCGAGTGTATTTGTAGTTACTACTTCACTGCAAACGATGAATCCAAACCACAAACAATCAAAAGAATGGTGATGATCAGAGGCTGTAATTACATGAATTTCAAAATTAAAATAGAAACATGATTGAAAGTTCACATGAGGTCTTCATCTGAAGCCTCAGCCAGTGGTTTGTAACTATATGCATTTGATCCGGCATTATTTATCTGCATAGGTAAACATGAGTTAAGAAGATCAACACAATAATGAAACTTGAAAAAGAAAAGAAAAGGTTCCATTAAGAGTATTGGCTCAATTGTTAACACCAGATAAATATTGACACAAACAATCACATGTATTTTTACAGGCATTTTTTCAAACAATGTGCATAAATCATATACATGTCTACATGCAAATATGTGGAAACAAGGGAAAGTTGGAATGGAGAAGAGCACATGGAGGAGAAGTAATTTGAACCGCGAGAGAAAATTGCAACATTAAATTAGCAACACAGATAAGATTTTCGCAAATCTATTGTCCTTTCCAAATATTGATCTAACTCTATCATGCAAGTATAACCTCAAAAGCAAGCTAGCATTGGAGGTGAGAAAAAAAAATCGAAAGTTATTCACTTTAAAGAATGTTTTCGGTATTGCAGCCCAATTGAAAATAGAAACTGAGACTTTTTTGTTTTGTTTTTTTTTTCTTTTAGGAAAATAAAAGCTGAGAATTTTAGTTACTCTTCAAAACTATAAAAAGAAAAAAAAGGGTCACGTTTGGTGGAATTTAGCAGATGAATATCTAATTTGTGACGTCAAAAAGGAGCATGTTGTATATACCATTTGACCCAAGTCTTGATCATAACATGGATGAGAAAACAACTTATGAAAAAAAAAAAAAACAAGAAATTCATATGATCAAGAAATAAAAACATATGACCCCGTCACGACCTTACCAACTCAAATAAAGTTAACCAAAACTGTGAAGCAAAAACAAAAGATCTGACATTACTACCCATATATCAATGTGTCCTAGGTTTCTTTGTGCAAATGCAACTAAATCCTTGACATCTTGGCCTTCTCTAACATCGCATCGAGTACCCTGAAAAAGATAAAGCAATGATGAATTACTGGCATGAAAAATAAGCAACAAACTGTGCCAGATAAAGACTTATGAAACAAATATGTCAGAGAAATGAATTGAGAAAGAAAGTATTAGAGAATTTCAAAGAGGAAATAAAAAGTCCATCAGGAGGTACCCACACATGCTGCTCCCCAAATTCTTCTTTTACGCTTTGTACAGCAGATTCTACTCGCTCTGCTGTGTATAAAAATGTTTTAATTTCAAGCAATCACATCAAGTAAGCAAATATATACAGCACTCATATGGGAAAACAAAATATAACTTCTAAATTATTATTATTCTTTTTTTACAAAATGATATGTTCTTTCTGAAACAGTAATGCATAAACTTAAGGATAGCTAAGAATTTTAAACAATAAACAAAACTCAACAGATCATGAAAGTCAAATAGGGCAGTGAAGCGACTAAAGAAAAAATGTTTTTACTTGAGGGAAAAGCAAAAAAGAATACAAATCTTCTGGTAATGGCCAAAAGTGAGAAGTGATTGTCCACAGGGATCAGGGATCAGAAGTGCACCGCAAACAATAACACTACACAGAATCTACAAAGCACAAGCGAGTAGTCTACTTGAAAAGCAAATCTTAAAGATAGGCAACAAGATAACAGCACGTGCAGTCAAAGCATACCCGATCTTGAGCAGATGACAACATTGTCACCTGCTTTTAGAAACTCTTTGGCAAGAGCATATCCAATACCTGAGTCAAATAAGGGGAAAATATAAGACAACGCCGAGACGAAAATAATGAAGATGTATTAATCTTTATCTAGAATCAGATTTCAACAGTACCAACACCGCGAGGTTTCACAGAGAAAAACAAACATATATATATATATATATATATCACTTCACATCCCTGTAAAATAAAATCTGATTCAAATGTACCACAGTTCCTCTCAAAAGCAGCATGTGTTAAGCATTAACCAATCCGGAGACTTACCAGCAAATTCTTTAAACCTCAAATAAAACTCCTTATAAAACATTCTCTCAACAGTCCTTTCCTTACTTCCCCAAATTTTACGTGAAGCATATTCTCTACTCAAAACCTTAAAATTTCTGAAGAAATAACACTTTTTATCACCAATAGAGTAGAACATAATAAGCTAAAGTTTTCAAACAAAACAACAAAGGCCTTTTTTTCATTCCAAAAATCGATGTAACCAATAAATGCATTGGTAAAGGGCTGTATCCCAAGAAAATAATGAGGGTATTAAAGAAAAACTCATCCCAATCAGCCCAAAAATCAGTGAAAAAAATTATAATGAACAAAATGAATTACTGGCATCTACAGCATATTATAATACATAATTTATAAGCGGCCAACCAACAAATATACAAAAACCAATACCAAAAAAAAAAAAAATGAGAAACCCAAATCAAGAAAACTCCCAAAGCAGTATCATATTCATAAAATAGCAACTTTGAAATGCAATCTGGATAAAAAGTGGGGCTACCTTTACTGGAGCCCGTGATGAGGACGTTGAAAGGAGGCTCCATTGGTTGTCTTTCAGCCATGGAAGCTGAGGCTCTGAGTCTGACCACAGTGCTCAGACCGGTGGGGTTTTGGCGGGAAGAAATGGAAAGAAAACGGCAACGGCGGAAATTAGGAAGAAATGGGTTCTTCTGAAAGGTGAGAAAGTCGAAAGATTGGTGGGTTTTGGTTTTTGAGGAAAGCAGAGGAGAGAGAAATGGTGATGGCGAGTGGAGGGAAGTGCTTACTGTCCACATTTTTCTCACTGCGGAATCCGGAAGGGAACACAACCGAGTGCAAAGCGCCAAACCAACAGATAAAAATCTCTCTCTCTCTCTCCGTTTCTGGTTTTTTCTTTCCATTTTTATACCATGCATTTCTTTTTTTTTACACATGTATACCATGCATTTTGAACTAATCAAAAATCATACCTTATATGTTTAATCGTATTGGATTTGTACTTTAATATTTGGATTTCATTATCAATTATTACCTTTTTCTCAATCAATTGTCAATTTTAACAGTAAAAAACCCTAAATCCCCTTATAGGAAAAAAAAATTAGACAAAAAAAAAAGTTAGGGTTAATTTCTCTTTTGGCCCCTGAATTATGTGAGTTGTTCCATTTTAGCCCCTAAACTTTGAAACGTGATAGAGCACACCCCTAAAATACACAACTTGTCTCATTTTAGTCCTTCCATCACAAAAGTTGTTAATCATAACGGAAATAGACATGTGACCCTCACATGATTATTTTGATAAAGGCCATTTTAGACAATTCTTACTAATCACTTTAACCTTTTGTCAAACATTTTATGGTGGCATATTTGGTAGACTTGATATTTTGGATATGTAAGGCTAATGTTATATGGATTTGACCATTTATGGTGCTGATTTGAAGTCTTTTGAAACCATATTTCTAGTATTTCCCCTGTTTTGTTTACGAGTTTATTTTTTCATTTGATTCACAAGAATCACCCTCTTAAAATAGAAAACATCTGTTGAAAAAAAAAAGGAAAAAGAAAAAAAAATAGTAAAGCTTACATAATAGAGAAATAAAATTTATAGATTTTCTTGAAAACAGATATAGAGCTAAAGGGCAAAATTGTCATTCTGTATAGAGCTATAGGACAAATCTCAGTTTTGTACCAGACTTTTAACATGTTCCGAGTCACTGATCTATGAAACTATCACAATTAGTCCTTTCTTATTTGGTTGTTAAAATCTTGACTTAAAAAAAAAAAAAAAAGCATAAGAGGATCATGCACTGGTACTAGAGATTAATTTTGTAATTTTACCAATATGAAAGTGGTATTAGGCCAAATTATCCCCAATTTAGTCAAACACGTTAGTGGGTCATGTTGGGTTGACACGATCCTTTTATAACCCGTATATTTAAACGGACTATGTGTATCGTGTCATGCCAAACCTATTTGTGAACTGTTAGCTGAATTGTCACCAAACCAATCTACAACCACACTTGAGACCTTTTTTCCCCTCTTTTTTTTTTTTAAAGATTATTGTACTTTCTTAACAATAAGATAATGTCAATGGGATCATTTACACATTGTTAGAAATCATATAATAAGTTACAAAAATATGATTACAATACCACTAATGGAATTTAGTAATTTTCTTTCTCCAGAAAAAAAAAAAAAAAAAAAAAAATCTGTCCCCAAGGTACTGGTAGCCGCTCACTATGTTCTCTGTAGGACCTGTGAATGAAGCAAAATTTCAGTTGTGCTTATTAATACAGCTCCTTAATCATCTACACCACAAACATTTTTCACCTCATTCATGTAAGTAGCTTTCTTGATGAAAAGTTGAAAACTCCTCTCATCTCTTTAATCAATCTTTGACTTGCATTTAACATCTGTCCAGAGAAGTGGTTAGTCTTTCAATGCTATATCTAACAAGGTAAATGCCAATGAGGGAACCGCTCTGCCACCTTCCAACATTTGCCATATACCCATATTGCTTGTCGACGAAGCAAAAGAGATGAAGTTTAGTATCTCATCCAAAGACATAATGAGCAGAAACCTGAGATGGCAATGGTGTATAAAGATCAACCTATACCTGTAATCCGTCATCAACCTCACCGACGTTTAGATCTTCTACGCTTCCCAAGAAGTTTCAGCATGTTATCCGTGACATCAGGTCGGGAGTTATCATCTTCATGATGGCTGTTGTCGGAAGTGTGAGTCAACCATGCCAATGCCTCGATGGCAGCATCCCTCTCGGCGAGCTGCTTGTTTCTCTTGGGCTTCCCAACAAACTGCATACCTTTGAACTCTACAAGCGCTCTGAACTCGTTTGTCTTGAGGTGCTTGGTTTTGTACTTGGGAGGAGAATGTCCTGCCCTCATCAACAGAGTTTGAAGAAGGCTCTTTGGATTTGTACCGTCTCTGGTGAATCTGCTATTGTCATCAGTTTCCTTGGGCTTCTTGGTTTCCCTGCCAAATACAAACCTCCCTTCACATTGATCTCCAGATACCAGCTCTTGAACTGCAAGCATAAGGTACTTCCCTTCCTTGTGAATGTCCAGGCTAGGATCTTGAAGCTGCATCATTGCAGGAACAAATCACTCGAAACTTGAACTCGATAAGAGCGTAATTATCTTCCAATTCAAATGTTAAGCAGCAAAGATCCGTTATTCAATTTCAATATACAACACCTACCTTGTTATAATAACATCACTGCAGCTTTCTCAGGAAAAATGAAGGAAAGTGGTATCTTATAACTTGGTATGTAATGACACCAAAAGATAAAAATAGAAAAATAATCTATACTTTTTTGTTATGATATTAAAAGGAGTGTTAAAACAACCATACAGTGTGCAAAATGGTATCATAAATACATTTGTTAGCTTACCTTTCCTTGAATAAGCTTATTAAGTTCTTCCTTAAGCTTCAAATAGCACTCGGCCAAACTAGGATCCATGAAAAAGTCGATATAACCGTTCAACATCTTCAAATGCCCAGCCTGAAAAATGAATCAAAAGAAAAGCAAATTAGACTACAAAATCTGAGCAATTAATTTTCTTGTGTAACTTGGGTTCAAATGCCAGTAGAAAGATCACCTGTACTCCTTGGTGTAAAGAACCACCATAAAGGATAAGTACTGAATCAGATACGCCAGTAGAATCACGTATGAAGACAGTGTTGACCTTTATTTTTTCCCCAAAGACCAACCATGGGTAAGGAATAGTTTGGTAACGTGCATTTACAGAATTCTGAAGCAAAATAATACTAGTATCAATTACAGAAAAAGAAGAAAATCTGAAAGTCACACTCATGGAATGTCAAACGTGTAAATGATGTGCAGAATGAACTTTCATGGGTTCACAATCAGAAAGATGATCACGAAATGCAAACTTTAAAAAAAAAATAAAAATGTTAGCTACCTGGTAAATCTCAACCAAACAACCCTAAAATATACACTCACACAAGCAGAATTCAACGAGAATAGAGTATGGAATTAGGGGTTTTATTAATCAACACCAGCAAACACAGATTACACAAGAACAATACAAAAGTAAAGGGATAATTCCGGAGATTTCGAGTACTCCGGGACTCCAAGCCTCTGTCGGCAACAAAACACCAGAAAATTAGCAAAATACCGCCTACTCTCATCCTACTTGCCCTAACCACAAAATACCCCCTGATTCTAACATGTTTTGCCAAGCCACATCCCTAGCCACTTTCAGAAATTACTCCTTGGCCCCAAATTCTCTGCTTCCTGCCACGCTTACCCCTTCTAGTGTAAACCATCCTAAGTAAGGGTCTGACAAAAAATATATAAATAAAATATGAATTTGTTATGGATTAAACTAGACTTGCATTGAAGCAAATCGTAGATATCCCGATACAGCAAGAATTGTGTAAGTCAATCCTGCAGACTGAAGCTCATTACCTCAAACATTGCTGTCAAACCTTGTGCATTCAAAACGTCATGCCAGATTTAATTCTCACCTTAATCTAAACAATGTAAAACAAACATACCAATTCGGTGCAATTCCATTTCTCCTTAAATCCCCACTGTTAATTAATTCTTTTGTTTCAATACTTCATATTGAAATAGTCTTGCTTAAGAGGGATTGGCACTCACCGCATATACTAAAACTTGGCCATCGTCCATTGTTTTGAAAGACATGGATGTCTCTCGGTGCTGCACAGGTGGTAAGAAATAGCGGGTTGATAATTTAGTTTTAGAAAAATTCAATGAAAACACGTCCAAGTAGGAGCACTTTACCACTACAGATGATATGCCAGGAAACAGCCCAGAACAAATGACTGCACGAACTAATGATTGGTTGTGACTCAATCGGTTATTGTTGCTTGCATCAACATCTATCAAGCTAGCATCTCTTAGAATGTAGCTAAATTGCTTTCGAAGAGAATGGATGGCCTGAAGTGTCTGGGCTGAGAGAAAATTCCTCCAGCAATACTCATATGCCGATCCTTCTCTTTCTGCATCTTTCCATCCTTCATATGCACGAACAAGGGCCATGTGATCACTGTAATCCTTTGCTGAAAATCTAGACTTTGCTGTTCCTGCTAACTGAACCACACAGACAGAAAGTAGTTGATTATGTTTAACTAAATAGAAATATGTTTGAGAATCTACAATGTAAAAAGGTTTTAATATATTGTCTCCTCCGAATTCTAATATTTGGGAAACTTTCCTCATCATGAATGTTGGATAGTACACACTTTTAAGGTACTAGCAGGTAATATGTTGAGTTTGGTACTCACATCTTTCTTGTCTTGAGGCAATAAGAAAGGATCCCTGACGCTAAGGCCAGATACTATTGTAAGAATAGGATCAAAACAGTGAAAGATAGCTCCCATGATCAGCATTTTCCCTAGTTTGGGATCTACTGGGAGCACGGACAAAAATTTTCCTGATCAATAGAATAAGAGACAAGATAAGGCCCAAGCAAGCAAGAGCAAATTTAATGATTTACAATCTTAAGTGCTCCATTTTCTCATAGAGGTCTTGATATACTAAGTACTAACCAAGATTTGTTAAATCCTCATTCTCATCTAGCGCCCCAATCATCTTCAAAAAGTCGATGGCATTTTGAACCTGTCAATAAATGGAGTTATAAACAAGAGTGATTAACTAATAGCAAATGATAAAATAATTGTAAAAATGAAGCATTTAGCTTGAGAAATCCATAAAGCAACCTAGTACTTAATTCTATCCCAAACCTCACTAACGTCCCCCACTAAATCATCAAAAATTCGATCGTTCCTCTCTAGCCAAAGTGCCCAAGTGACAGCAAGGGCAGCCGCATTCCATAATCTCTTAGCACTGTTGCTTCTACCAAACATGTTACCGAATATAGGATAATTATGGAGGAGGATTTGTAGCTGTTTAGGAGGATTTGCAGTTGATTCAAAAAGAATATTCCTAGAGACTAGGGATTAGTTGTTTTATGATATTCTCTGTAATTTGTCTTTTATTTGTGATGATTATTTTTCCTTATTTAAACCAACCGGTCTCTCCTATATAAAGAGACAAATGTAGAGGTTGAATAGGTGTGAATAAAAAAGAAGCAGTGTTTTTACTTTTTCCTCTGCCATCTCCTCGAATTCCTGCTATATGGTATCAGAGCCAGTCGAAGTCTAGGAGTTTTGGAATTTCGAGTTGTAGATGGCAGCATATAAAAGGGCGTTGACTGGAGCAAGCGGAGGCGATGTTTCTGAGGAAGTGTCCTCTCAAACTACCTCCACAATTGCTCCCACTGCTGCATCCCAACTTGTCACTTCAGTTCTCGAGAGTTCTAATAATCTATCCCTTCAAATCACCACCCACAAGTTAAATGGAAAGAATTTTCTCAAGTGGTTCTGATCAGTACTAATGGTCTTATGAGGAAAAGGAAGACTAGGCTATTTGGATGGCACAATTCCGTAGCCTAAAATAGGAGATCCTTCGTATGAGAATTGGGAAGCACAAAACTCTATGGTGATGGCATGGTTAATTCACTCAATGGAAGACAACATCGCGGACACCTATATCCTGTTTCCCATGGCCAAGAAGATTTGGGATGCAGTCAATTTGGCTTACTCTGATTTGGAGAATACGTCACAGATGTTTGAACTAAGGAACAAGGTAAGAAATTTGAAACAGGGGGAAAGTGATGTCACACAATACTATCATGAGTTGACAAAACTCTGGCAAGAGTTGGACTTGTTCTCATCCCCTTCGTGGAAAGACCCTGATGATGCAGTCATGTATAGAAGAATGGTTGATCAAGATCGAATATATGACTTCCTCGTTGGACTTAACAAGGACTTGGATGAAGTCCGAGGTCGACTGCTTGGAATGAGACCTCCACCGCAAATTGAGGAAATCTTTGCAGAAGTACGTAGAGAGGAATCAAGGAAGAGGGTCATGCTCGGAGGAAATATGCAGATCTTGGAAAATTCTGCATTGGTTGTCCGTGGACAAGAGAAGCAAGGAGAAGAAAAAGTTAATAAAAAGTGGTGTGATCATTGTAAAAAACCATATCACACCAAGGAGAACTGCTGGAAACTACATGGCAAGCCGGCAAATTGGACACCCCAGAACCGTGGACGTGAAGGAAAGGGATTTCAAGCAGCCATTGAGAAGACTGAAGAAGAACCAGACACTGCAACACCTGTTTTTTCTAAAGAGCAAATGGAACAACTAAGGCAGATGTTAACACAATCATCGTCCCACTCATCCTCTTTTATGGCTCAGAGAGGTAAAGTACTAACTGTTTTTCGTGGCTTGGTAGAAAAGGAAGAACCATGGATTATTGACTCAGGGGCAACAGACCATATGACTAGGTGTGCAAAGCTGAACACCACATACACTCCTAGCGCTGGAAACCGCAAAGTGCAAATTGCTGATGGAACCTCTTCCGTGGTAGTTGGTATAGAGACAATAAAAATTGGACCCAATGTCACATTAAAAGGGGTCCTTCATGTGCCAAATTTGAGCTTCAATCTCTTGTCCATTAGTAAAATAACCAAAGACTTGGATTGTGAAGTAATATTCTTGCCATCTGTTTGTGTTTTTCAGGACCGATTATCGGGGAAGAGGATTGGCAGTGCTGAGGAGGTAGATGGCCTATACTACTTTGAGGAGAAATCCAGTGGTAATGGGAAGGCTCACATGGTTGCAAGCAATTCTCTTTCAAAACTCAAAAAATTATGTTATTGCATTATAGATTAGGACATCCTAGTTTTCCTTACTTGAAATTTTTGTTTCCTTCCTTGTTCAAGAATAATGAAAAATTTTAATGTGAAGTTTGTCAATTAGCAAAACACACTCGTGTCCATTTTTATCATTTACCATATCGTGCATCAAAACCATTTGTTCTTATTCATAGTGACCTGTGGGGACCTTCTCGTGTTTCAAGTCTCACCAATAAAAAATGGTTCATAACCTTTACCGATGATCACTCACGGGTTTGCTGGGGTTATCTTCTAAAGGAAAAATCTGAAGCTGGGAATGTTTTCAAAGAATTTCACACCATGATTAAAACACAATTCGATGAGAATATTAAATTCTTAAGAACTGACAATGGCACAGAATTTTTAACGCCGGTTTAGGGGAATTTGTGAGGGAAAATGGGATTATCCATCAAAGTTCTAGTGTTGACACACCACAACAAAATAGGGTGGCCGAGAGAAAGAATCGTCATCTTCTAGAAGTTGCCCGGTCATTATTATTCACAGCGAATCTTCCTAAGCGTTTTTGGGGTGATGCAGTTCTGACTGCAACCTACTTGATAAATAGGGTACCTTCTAGAGTTCTCAAATTTCAAACTCCCATAGAGTCCCTATATAAGTACTACCCAAAGCTTCGGATTTCATCTTCTCTCGAGTTAAAAATATTTGGCTGTGTGGCCTTTGTCCGTAATCTAGATCCTAGAGCTCATAAATGTATTTTTCTGGGATACTCTACGACCAAAAAGGGGTATATATGTTATTCTTTAGAGAAAACGAAATATTTTGTGACTAGGGATGTCACCTTTTTTGAAAACCAACCTGTTTTCACCAAAAATTTCCTTTAGGGGGAGAAAATATGGGAAGATAATTTTTGGGATAAGCCTAAATATCAGGGGGATCGGGACCTTAAATGTTCGTCTTCGTCTTGGGAGTTTTTTTGGGATTTCGCCACACCTCCAGAGATTACAAACCTAGATCCGAAGGATTCTGATCTCCATGAAACGTCCCCTGAAATAGAGAATCATGGTAAAAAGGTTGAAAATATTCCTAGCTCAAATCTTACAAATATTCATGTTTTAGAATCTGAGAACTTCCCAAGCACTACCATAGAAAATCCCACTGAGAATCTAGAAATTACCTTGTCAAGCCCTAAGTCACATGTTCTTGATCAGTCGAACACATCTGCAGAACAATTAGGTGATCCTTTACAATCCATCACAATCACACAAGCCCAAAATCCTAGGAATCCAACATCTAAAATGCAAAAGCAAGGTTTGCAACCATTTGATCTAACCTATTCACGCAGGAAGAACCAAAAAGTTGTAGAAAGCCAAAAGGATCTTCACTACCAAGAATCTGATCCAAAACTCGGTCTTGATGGGGAGCTAAATGACTTAGATGTTCCTATTGCTCTGAGAAAAGGTACTAGGTCCTACACTAAATATCCTATAGCCAATTATGTAGGTTATGATCATCTATCAGGTTCAATGAAGGCCTTTGTGACGAATTTGGCGAGTACAGAGATACCGAGAGACATCCAAGAGGCAATGGGAAAGGACGAATGGAGAAAGGCTGTTTTGGAAGAAATGGAAGCTTTGAAGAAGAATGGTACGTGGGATATTGTAAAAAAACTAAAAGATAAGATTGCAGTTGGGTGCAAGTGGGTATTTATAGTCAAGTATAAAGCAAATGGTTCAATCGAGAGATATAAAGCGCGGTTGGTGGCTAAAGGGTACACACAGACGTACGGGATAGATTATCAGGAGACTTTTGCACCAGTGGCCAAGATCAATACTGTTTGAGTCTTGTTATCCCTGGCGGAAAACTTAGACTGGCCATTACAACAACTTGATGTGAAAAATGCATTTTTAAATGGCGATTTGGAAGAAGAGGTTTATATGGAACTTCCGCCTGGATTCAATAAAAATGGAAAATGTGAAGAAGTGTGCAGATTAAAGAAATCCCTATATGGCCTAAAACAATCACCGCGAGCTTGGTTTGATAGGTTTACTAAGGTAATTAAAGATCAGGGGTACAAGCAGGCTGGATGTGATCACACGCTATTCTATCTACATAAGGATGATAAGGTTACGATGTTGATCGTATATGTTGATGACATTATCCTGACTGGAAATAATCTTGAAGAAGAGGAAAGGCATAAAAGGAAGTTGGCAGAAGAGTTTGAGATTAAAGATCTTGGGAGTCTCAGGTATTTTCTTGGAATGGAAGTTGCCAGAAATAGAAGTGGTATCTTAGTCTCGCAAAGAAAATATGTGCTAACCTCTTGAAGGAAACTGGAATGTTGGGTTGCAAACCAGTAGAAACTCCTGTAGAACCAAACAAAAAAAAGGAAGGTGTGGGGGAAATGAGTCCTGTAGACAAGAGCCGCTTTCAACGTTTAGTCGGGAGACTTATCTACTTGTCTCATACTATACCTGATATAGCTTTTGCAGTAAGTCAAGTGAGTCAGTACATGCACTCTCCTACTGAAGAGCATTTGGAAGCTGTGTATAGGATACTGAAGTATTTGAAGGGAACCCCTGGACGAGGATTGTTCTTCAAGAAGGGAGCAGATAGAAGTATAGAGGTCTTTACAGATGCGGATTGGGCAGGAGCTATTGAGGATAGAAGGTCTACTTCTGGATATTGTACACTCGTATGGGGAAATCTAGTTACATGGAGAAGTAAGAAGCAAACAATAGTTGCTAGAAGTAGTGCTGAAGCAAAATTGAGATCGGTAGCTCACGGAATTTGCGAGGTTTTGTGGCTGAAAATGTTGCTAGATGAGCTTAAAGTTGGAGTTATGCTACCATTACGTGTCTATTGTGATAACAAGGCAGCCATAAATATCTCACACAATCCTGTTCATCATGACAGGACCAAACATATGGAAGTCGATCGGCATTTTATCAAAGAAAAGATAGAAGAAGGAACTATTTGCATGTCCTATGTTCCTACTACTCAACAAGTGGCTAATGTCCTGACCAAGGGATTAGCTAAACCCATGTTTGAAAAATTAGTAGACAAGTTGGGTATGTACAACATATATTACCCAACTTGAGGGGGAGTGTTACCGAATATAGGATAATTATGGAGGAGGATTTGTAGCTGTTTAGGAGGATTTGCAGCTGATTCAAAAGGAATATTCCTAGAGACTAGGGATTAGTTGTTTTGTGATATTCTCTGTGATTTGTCTTTTATTTGTTATGATTGTTTTTCCTTATTTAAACCACCTGGTCTCTCCTATATAAAGAGACTAATGTAGAGGTTGAATAGGTGTGAATAAAAAAGAAGCAGTGTTTTTCCTTTTTCCTCTGCCATCTCCTCGGATTCATGCTATAAAACATAAGATCTCTGTTGAAAAGGTCCACTATCCAGTTAGAAATCACCCAAGAAAATCTGAACTCTTTCATTATGTGATACCAAATACCCAAGGAAAAAGGGCAGTGAAGGGAAAGGTGGTCTAGATTCTCGCCATGTCTTTATAGAGGACACACCACCCAGGGAACGGATAAAATAAGGCTCTCTTCTTTGTAACGAGTCGTGAGTATCAAGTTTACTAGAAACAAGCAGCCATTAAACGGTTACAAGAGAACAGGCCGCAACCCTCAAGATCCCACACCCAACAATCCAACAACCTTAAACCTGGCTTAACTCCCTCCAAAGACCCCAACAAATCCACAACCTCTCCCATTTCTCTCTCCCATTACATTCAAACACCTGAAATTACAGAATTGACAATAACCAGACATCCATGTAATTCAAATACACAAAGACACAGCCTCGTTTCTCTTAACGTGAAGGAAGTTTCTCTGATATGTTTGGCACAGGGAACACTATATAGATGCTGACTAGGTCTGGGACTGTTAAACTATCAAAATAAACAGGTATCCCAAATCAATCTAAATTCTTCCCATTGAAAAAAAAAAAAAAAAACCCCCACTGCTACAGCCTCAAACATATATTTAAAACTACAGTTATAGTCGCTGAAAGAGTCCAGCAGATTTCCTTGTTAAAATAAGTTACTGAGTTCAGGTCTGTCAGTCAACTCAGTACTGAAATTTTTAACTATGGGTGGAATGAGTTGCATATGTCTGCCAATAGGAATTCGGCATATATTCTGTATCCACCTTATGAGGCTTTAGCCCTAGTGATGTGCTTACCCCAAAAATCCAACATCCAGCCTTTTGTTTCCTGAACTACTTGCCATCATACATAACACTAATATGAGCCTTGAATAGAAATTCTTAACTACAATACATATCAACTGAGCAACATCACTTACTGCAAGTGGTTCTGGCGGTTGCAGAGCTGCTGACAAGAACACGCCTATACTCCCAACCTGCAAGCTCTTTATTTGCAAGCATAGAGAGTTTAAAGGAGTTCTCAACAGTTCAGGAAGCTGATATTCTGCAAAAGCTTCAAAAACGCATCTGGGATAAAGGTGGTAACATTCGCCTGGCTGCACACGCCCAGCCCGACCCCTTCTCTGCAACCCAATAAAATCAAGCAAATTATAATGAAGGCATTTGCATATACAAGTACAAAGACAGGATGTGTTCATATAATTAAAAATATGCAACAGGGACCATGATAAAAGATGTTAATGACATCCAAATGGCTTCACGTAGAGCATGCCAGCATGCTCTTAACCCCACGAAATCAGTGCAAACTGCCTAAAGAAAAGAAAATAGGAACAAATCGCAAGCAAAGTCATCGGCAATCTAATTCGAAGGCAAAAAATGATACAAACTACTCAGCAAATGCATAAAAATAGGCCAACAACCAAATTTGGTGAAAGGTTGTGCTTTTGTGCTTTCAATCAATGAACAGCCCTCTTATCCATTCTAGCCACTAACTATGGTACACAACTTTCAACGGTCATGTTTGAAAACAAAGCATGTTTTAATCATGGTGAAAGAATCGATTGAGCAAAAGACACATATATGCAGAATCAAGGCGAAGTGGGCCTAGGGTAAAAACTTACTTGCCGAGCAGATGCTTGTGATATCCAAGAAGGTAGTAGACAAGGGGTATTGTTCAAGGCATCGTATGTTGTCTCTTTTGCCTTTCCACCATCAACCACAAACACTACATCATTGATTGTAATGCTTGCCTCTGCCATATTTGTAGCGAGAATTATTTTACGTACATTTGGAGGTGGTTTGTCAAATATAAGTTTCTGCAGAAAATGACATCAGAAGACTGAGACTAATATAATCTAAAATGAGCAACCTCATGTAAAAGAAAAGGCTATAAATTGTATTTTCCTGAGAAGTTTAATAAGTCTAGGGTGCAAGTGCAAGCATCAAGCACTAAATGAAACGTGGACACCAAAAGGTGCAACTAATCACACAGAATAGACAACTCGATTTGTTTTTGGAAACATATATATATATATATATATATAGTGCAGCTAAAATACGCTTGATCGCCAAATGGACATCTTGACTTAATTTTAGATGCAGCAGTCTCTCAAATAAAGTAATAGTCCTGCTCAGCCATGACCAGCAAGAACCAAATAAGTAACGATGGTGAGAATAACGACCTCAGCCTCAGGAATACCTCCATGGCTTCACGATGTGCAGCTCATGATGTAAGGAGGAAGAAAAGTCTCGGTTAATAAATTTAAAGAATAGTCCCATTTATCTGATAATGATAGCTCATGATGTAGGGATAGCAACGTTATTGGGAGCTTTTATAACTCTGCGTCATAAATTTTAGCCATTACAGCAATCACGTATGCCTTTGATAATGATATGTGAATACGCAGAAGTAGCGTGGCCATCTTAGATTGCATAACTAGCAACGTTGATCGTTTCTTATCAGTGTATTGGTAAAGAAAGAAAATAAGATATCAAAATGTACTCGAAACACAAAAAAAAACAAAAAAAAAATGATGAATTGCACTACATTTTGTTAGTTAGGGCCTGTTTGGGAAAGCTTCCTAAAAGCTGCTTTTGGCTTCCTGGCTCCAAAAGCTACTGTTGGAAGTATTTGGATGATGTGTCAAAAGTGCTTTAGCTTTTCAGAAGTCCATTCAAAGCCACAAAATGAGGCTTCTAGAAAAAGAACTTCTGAATAGACTTTAAAACTTGTATCATAGTTTCATTAAGGCATTATAAACTTAATTCCAACACTTTTATTTCTTAATAGAAGATTCAAAAATGATTTTGACCCATTAAGCTCTTTTATTCCAAACACTTACTCAAAAGCTATATTTTTTACTTTTCTTCTTCGACTGACTAAAAGCAAAAACAAAAGCTCTGCCAAACGGGCCCTTACAACATAACTCCATAGAAAAGCACAAGGCAAGCTATGTCCTATTACAGAGTCCTTTATACAACCTAATAAACAAAGGTCCAAAACACCAGCAACGTAGAGATAGATGACATCAACATTATATATATATATATATATATATATTGACGACTTCCAAAGACAATAAAGTTGCAACACTGCATGTGCTAATTTTAACACAAATCCTAAAAACAGCCAATATGAAACTTAACCAACCTGTTCAGAAGTTGCCATTGAACCATGGCATGTTAGAAGCAGAACTCTGTTAGGATCACCCAACAAAGGATGAGCTTTAACTTGATCCCTTAAGCAGCTGATATCCTCCCACCCAGTCATGAACACTAAAACAGCACCAGGTCGTTCCTTTCGACATATATGGCATAGAACTGCCTCAATAAGATTGAAACCTGTGCAATCAGGTACCCATGATGATAGAGAGTCGCGTGCCCGAGCACTATAATTCTCAAAGCTTGATTTATTAAGAGCATCCTGAAACAGTAACAAGGTAGATAAAATAACAGTATTAAGCTAGAAGACTGATTTGTCATCCTCACTATTAGCAGTGCAGCGTCTTTATACATTAACTGTTTTATGCGTAAAACATATTAACGGAATATGAAATTTAAAGACTCCTATTAGATTCATTTCTATCACAAAAACTAATAGAAAGAACAACCTAAGTAGGCATATTAAAAAAAGACAAGGCTACTGATGCAAGGCGAACATAATGAATAGAGAGAGAGAAAGACAGAAACAAACAGACAGAGATGAATTTATAATATATAAAGAGAGAAGAACAATAGATAGAAATCAGAATAATACTCAATGCCATTATTAGATGTCCTTGTTAAATACAATATCTAGGCCTAATTATAAAGAAGAAAAACATACCAATGGAAGCTCACCAGATTAACAGTAAGCGTAACTTATTGACATAGTTCTGAGAAACTTACTATGAAAACTCTAAATAAAGTAAGAAAAGAATATAAACTGAACTCATTAATACTTTCTTTTTTTATGCCAAATGTAAGTGCATGATTTATCATATTGATCTACATCACTAGCTACTTTTGATCCTTATAAATATGATTACGTGAAGCCCTCAATTGTTGAGATCAAATCTGGTTTATTGAACCACGTGAAGCACTTATGGCACTTGTTCCCTCATATTTTATTATTGTTCAGGCAATCTGTAGGGCGTAGCCTATCTGACCATATATCAATCCAAATTTACAGCTCATCAACAATATATTTATAAGGCATTGGACTTCTATATGCATATTACGCTCATATGGTGAGCAAAGAACTATCAACAAAGCACTAATACTTTTGACAAGATCCTAGTTAACTTTTAGTACTAGTCTTAAATAAATCATCTGATTAGGTATTGTGCATCATAAATCACTTGTTCAGTGATCTTAAGATAAACAAAATTTCAAACACAAATCCTGGAAAGGGACTAAACAATAGCCGTGTTTGAAATTGATCCTGTTTTTGTTTTTCACATTTTTCGAGACAAAAAAAATGAAAGCGTTTTCAAAATAGCGCTTGGCGCAATAAAGACAAAAAATGGAAATGAAAACTATTTTTTAGTTTAGTGTAAAATAAGAGAGAAATGAAAAACAACTTTTAGTCGTTTTTCATTTTTTGTTTTCGTTTTCTCCTCTCTTGAGCAGAGAAAGAGAAAGAGAGACATTAATGGGTTTTTTTTACACTAAAAACAATCTCTTGATAAAACTACCAAACGCATTTTCAAAAATAATTTCTATATGAGATTAAAAACGTTTTCATTTTCATTTTCATACAAAAAACAAAATCATTTTGGAACGAGTTTCAAACGCGCCCAATATCACCCTCAAACATTCTAACTAAACGAGAAAGAGATGCAGCTCTTTTCAATTTGACACTCTTTTCTTTTCCGTTCGAGAGGAAAATCAAAATTTAGACACAAGGTAACAATAATTTTTCTGAAGAACTTCTATCTATTAGCGGAATGCAGCTCTTTATGCTGATCCACACAACCAAGACAAACAAAAAGACTGAAATTACAAAGGAAAAGAGGCAAGATATTGACCACTAAGTTAATAAGAAAGTACAAATCTTTCATAAGAGTCACTGACGAAGTTAATACAATTCCCATGAGTAACTTTGTATACCCAAAGCTTATATACTAGCTTTCTGGAACAGGATTAAAGCACACCTCAACAAGAGCAGTAATTTGGTTTTTCCTTTTTCGTGAAGCCAGCTGCTTCTGTGTTTTCCACATTTTCTCTTGGCCATAATCATCAATTTGGTTGAAAGAAGTCAGCTTATAGCCAGTCATTTCCAGTACATCTTCTAGAAAGTGTGCTCGTACTGGATATGTAAAGCCCTAGAGAACACACAAATGCATTACCACTCAGATCAGTAAAAGCTTACTTTAGAATTCACTTTACTTGCAGAGCAAATAAATATTAGATAATCAAATAACTTAATATTCAAAGCTCACAATTTATAGAGATTAGGAAAATTAAGATATAAGTAAAACAAGGATGTCAAACTTGAGTTTCTTTTTAATAAGAAAAACAACTTTATTGATATAAAACAAACTACCGGAATATGAATTGTTGGCGCCCCTTCAAAATAATTAGAAAATAGCTCGGCATTTAGAGTAGCGCTCATCAAAATTAATCGCAAATCCCTACGGCGTGGAAGCATATCCTTCAAAATGATCAATAGGAAGTCTGTAAAAACGCCAGAAGTCTAAAGAAGTTAGAACTACAAAATAGCTGCTTTCGCAAGATCGACCTTCAAACTAAGACTGTCAAGAAACAAACCTTCATTCATGCCTCGCTCATGAATTTCATCAACGAAAACATGGGTTATTCCATTTAGGTTGCGATCACTCAGCAAGCGTCGAAGTAAAATACCACTTGTACAAAAGAGCAAGTGAGTGTTTTTCCCTTTCATCCCCTCTAATCGAACTTTATAGCCAACCTAACAAAAAATATCTGTTGCAGTATGGCACCATGCATAAAAGAACTTTCAATTTAAACTCTACATTTCTTCTCTTTAAGGAAAATGGAAGAAGCTTTTAATTTAATTTTTTCACAAAGGAAGTCTGTAGCGTCTTGTGCATATATATGTGTTGTGTGTAGATGGAGACATGACTCACTGTTTCACCAAGAGGCTCTCCTCTCTCTGTAGACCCTCTTTCTGAACCAGCCATAGCAGATATTCTCCGTGGTTGTGTACAGATGATGCTACAGAATGCTCCTCGTCCAGACTCAATCTCTGCCTCTAATACATATTGCGGAAGTTGAGTGGTCTTCCCACACCCAGTCTCACCGGATATTACAATCACCTATCATTGTAATGACTTATTCATAATTTGGCAGCAATGTAAGTGTAGATATCTATGGAAAGTCCAGAAATTAGTTTTAAAATATGTTTATAACTATTCAAAGAGATTATGGATAAACCAAGTTACCAAATCATGCAATGTTGGAAATTATTTTAAAAATGATAAAGCTTCTACTACAAAAAGAATTTCGTGCTAAATACACCATAATTCTAGGGAAAAAAAAGGGGCACTCTACACACTTGGTGATATATATATATATATATATATGTAGGAAGAACGAATAAATAAACATTTAATGACCTAAAAAGAACATATCAAGACGTATAAATCTCCAAATGATGAAATTTGCTTGCATGATCTTTAGAAAGAGCTATTTAATAGCAAAACAAAAGTATTTTCTACTTTCAAAAACATAAAAATAGTGGGGTGAAAGAGAAATGATAAAAACATATTTGTGATTCATTCTAGATAGAGTGCTATTTGTTAACACTACTTTTCAGTGTGCGCAGATGCATACATTTGCTTATTAAAAAAACAAAACAAAAAATAAAACAAAACAAAAAACAAAAAACAAAAAAGGCAAAACCAAAAACAAAACAAAACCATAAAAGAAAGGTCTATCTATTAAACTCGTAACTTTTGTGCAATGACGTGGAGCAATTTCAATTAGGAAAAAAAAAAAAGAAAAAAAAAAGGGAGCAATCTAAAGTGAGCAGAACGAAGGACCAACAATCCATCAAGTCCCCATCCATCTAACAAATCTATAAGCCCAAACAAATGAAAAGAAATGAGAAGCACACAAATATGTGTGTAGGTGAAGTGAAATGTGTTCCAGAAAGGATTCTACCTGATTTTGTGCAATAGCTTGCAGCAACCTATCCTTCTCCCTGAATGCTGGTAGAGATTTCCGAAATTCCAGCATCTTCCTACCTTCAGGTGATTCCTTTGGAAGAAATAGAAATTATATTTAGAAAGCAGATCAAATAACAAATATAGTAAGGGTAAGGCCCTCTTTTTATGAAAGAATAATGGATTGCTAGCCTCAGAAGAACAGCTAGGTCACCAGGAAACATGCATTACGAATGCTTCTAAGTTTTTTTTTTTTAAATTTTTTTTTTTTTTTTTTTTTTTTTTTTTGAAAGAATGACAGGGAAATAAGAGGACACACAAAAAGTTGCCCTGTAAAGGGCAGAACTTGCATGGACTAACTCAAGTTTCAGCAAGTAATCAAACCTTCACGTTCTAAAAATACTTGGGACACTACATTTATGGTCCAGAAAATTTTCAACATAGTGACAAATATTTTTCTTCACATAAGTGGAATTTAATAGTTTCCCATTTAAAATTTTTATTTTTCAACTTCTTGGCTATTAAAACACTTTCAGAATGAGTATCGACAAGAAACGCAACTGTATCTCATGTTAGACATAAAAAAAAAATGACATGAGCTATGATACCAGTTAAGGGAACATTTGTAGATCGTTCTACCAGCAAAATGTTGTAGGCTAGTGTCACATGCCTCACAAAGTATAACATTCCTAATTTCCTACAGGTAACATTAAAACTAATAGAAAAATAGAACCCAGAAAACCTGTCATCCAATTGGACCTCAATCAAAATTTAGTCCATTTGCATTAAAAATAGATCAAAGGAAATAAAAAAGTGTGTGTAAATACATACATACATACATATATCTCTGCCCAGAGACATAAATAAATATATATATATATATATATATATCTGTCCGGAGTTGGTGCTGCTTTATTCAGGTGTTTCCTGCCCAGAGTAATGCCATTTGGGTGGAAAAATCATTTGGGTTTGGAAAAGGGAAGAAAGCTCGGGTGATGTGGAATGCTATCAATCTTGCAATACTTTGGGTGATATGGTTAAAACGGAATCTAAGGATTTTCGAGAAGAAAGAAATGAATTGTGTGAACCTTTTTGAGAAAGCAAGATTTTTGGCTTCTCCATGGGCATTGACAGATCATTCTTTTAAGGAATTTTCACTGTCTCTGATGATGTTGAGTTGGGAAGATGTTTTAGTGTTGGAATTATTTCATATCAGGGTTGTTTATGTATTTTGTTTTGTTACAGTTTTATCTTTGTTTTTGTACGATTGATGGATTCTTAATCCATATCTGCTTGTCTTGTATTTTTCGTTTTAATCAATAAAATTTTCAGTTTCTTATCGATATATATGTATATAAATCTGTCAAAATACTTGCTTCTTGCAAAGAATTTCTTAAAACCCTGTATACTTCTCAAGAAAATTCAAAGGATTCCTCTTTATTGATCAAAAGAAACAATTCAACAGAGGTTTGAGAGCCTGCCCTTCTCCCTACTTAGGGATGAATTAATTCCCTTAATACCCAATTCTCATTCCATTTTCTCTTTTACACCTCTGTACAACTACTAACAGAACATAAAACTCTACTAATTACACAACCACCTCAAAACCTATCAACAATTCTCACCCCTAAAATTCCACCCAACTAACTCAGCTATTTAACTCTTCTTACTCTTCCTATGTTTGGAGTGGACTATTGGAGGTCTAAAAGAAATGTAAAGATTTCTTTTCATTACCAAGTTCTAATTCAAATGTCGGAATACTCAATGCAATATAGCAGTTATCTTGAATAAGATGAGGCCTTAGGATTTTGGCTCTGATTTTGCTGTTATCGAGTTTTGTAGTTACTTTTTTTTCTGTTCTTGTCTTCTTCGATGGATTCCTCATCCATTTGAAACTTCTTTTGTAATCATTTTCTTGATCAACGAAGTTTTTTGTTTCTTATATATATATATATATAGCAGTTATCTTGTTCCATATTTCACTACGTAATGTGTTCATTTGACACCACAAGAAAGTTTTTACATGATAAATAACCAGAACAACAATGGTATGTGACCATACTTGTTTTATTATTTAAAAATAATAATAAAAAATAAAGAACAACTTCGTAAAAAGAAAGAGAAAGAAATGAGAAACAACTAGAAAAACGATCTTACTTGCCAAGCTCTTTGCATATTACGCATTCGCAAACTTCTCCTCTGAAGAACCTTCTCCATGACAGATTGATCAAGGAATGAGTCAGCGTTATCATCCAGGTTAATACACTCAACCTGATCAATAGACTTATCATCACCCATATTGTTAGTGACCTTTCCAGAACTTAACTCGGCTCGATCTAGGTGTTCCTGCAATAAACCCTCCACCCTCCTCTGCAAGCCCAGAGGTATAACCACCTACAACAATGGTGCATCAAAATTTTGTGTCTCGCAGAAATGATATAGATCATTACAGTTTTCAAACCAGAAATCATTACCTCCCTCTGTGGCCGCCTATCATCCAAATCTGGCCTGTAGTTAGGAAGAGGAACTTTGCTGGCAACTACGACTTTCCCATACATTTCACTACAAATGCAAAGACCAGTGTATTAGTTGAACCTCTTCTCATTTACTGATCGGTTATCACATACAATACCAGTAACCAAAATGATGATAATGACAATAACAGCAATGACGATGATGGGAAGTTCTCTACCAATAAAGTCCCATTCTTTTGGCAAGATTAGATATCTGCTCATAGTCTCGTCTATCTCTTTTATCTCTGGATACAATCTCTTGGTCCTTCTCGTTTCTTAATAGAAGGCTGAGTTTCCATTTCCATTCGTCTATGTTAGCGACCGAAGACGATGCCTAAATAAATGTATTCACTTAAAATTCTCATCTCCACATAAATTGTAATATCAACGCTGGACTTATTATTTTAGAAAAAGCAAATTTGTTCAAAAATATTGCACAATAAACTAACTTAAAAATTAATCCGCAATTTAATTTAAACATTACGAAAGCCATTTCTATCAAGGGTAGGTGGCAATATCAAACAAAACCAAGCCTTTACTCATTTGTGACTTCGCCAGGTTAGGTTTCCTCCATTAAAGAACTAATATGAATAAAACACTCAAAATACTGACAACCTTGATTTGCTGCTAGGAAGATGTCGAAAAGGAAAATTTCAAAAAGAAAAATCTAGCAAGGAAAATAAGTTACTTTGAAAGCCCATATTATCTCATAGAAACCAAATTGGATTTAAAAAGCTGAAGTTTAGACCGACATTAAATCAGCTAAACGATCAAAACATCAAGCACAATTGCATCAAATTCTCGTCTTTTCCTTGAATTTCTCGGCAGCCAAACAATGCAAGGCCGATTCCAAATAACAACAAATAGAACTAAGTTCAAAAAGAGAGAAGCAAAAGTTTAATAAAAAAATGAAAATTTAGTTTCGCAAAAAATGGAAAAGAAAAAAAAAAGAAGCAAAGACCTGGTGATTCTCAATATCGTCGTATTCGTCGTCGGAGAACTGCTCAGCGGCGTACCCGCAAAAGCTCCGATTCGCGATGAGAAATCTGCCATGAGAAATGGCCGAAGAGGAAGAAGATAGCAGAAGCAGAGAACGCAGGTTGTTGTTTGCCCTGGAAGAAGAGTAAGAAGAGAGAAGAAGAGAAAAGTATGGATTGTTGGTGGAGGATTTGGCGCGGGCTATTAGAAAACCTATGGCATTGGCTGCCTTTGAATTGCGCATTCTAACCAAGGAACGGAGAAGAGCCTACGAGCCGAGACATACCGCTAAACAGTCATCGCTGCTGCTTAATATACGGCGACTGGGGAGCTTCTCCGGCAGGACAACAAAAAATAGGGAGAAAAAGAGAATTAAAATTAATAGGTCAATAATTTATATAAGTTAATAAATAGGTTAAATTATTATTTTTGTTTATAATTTATCTAGTTATGAAGTTGTTATTATCCATAACTTATTTAGTTATGAATCATAACTTGACAAATTTGTTCATAACTTATCTAGTTATGAACTATAACTTGATAAATTATGGTCTATTAATTTCTATAACTAAAAAATATCTTATATTCTTTCTTAGGCTTTTTATATTGACATATTTCCTACTATTTCCTCAAAAGATAAATTAGCTGTAGTTTTCGCTTTTAAACCCGTATATTTGTATTAAAATTTATCTATTTTACGTAATTTTTTTAATTTTATATGATTTTAATCAAATTTAATAATTAAAAAATTAATCTTACTGGTATGTTTATCTACTAAAGAAACTTCTTAATATATTAATCTATTTTAGTAGGGTTATTTATGTTTTTGTATTCTGATTCTGTTTAATCTGAAAATATATCGTTGATTTTTGAATGCTGCAATTGTATACCACTGCGGTCAACGTTAGATTTGGACTTTTAAAATTATTAAATTAAAGTCAATTATTTATTTTTATCTTTAATATTATCAAATTAACCTTAATGGAGTGATCTAGTATTATTGACGTTAATTTAATAATTTTAAAGGTCAAAATCTAGTGTTGACAGTGAAAAATGTAATAAATCTATGGGCTTGTTTGTTTGCGTTTTCATTTTCATTTTTCACGGTTTTCAAAGCAAAAAAATGAAAACAGGTGTTAAAAACGTGTTTGGTGCAATTTTTTTTTAAAAACAAAACCAAAAACGTTTTTGTCTTTTTGTGGAAATCAGAAAACGAAAAAAATGTGTTTTCATTTTCTCGTTTTCGTTTTCTGTTTTCTGAAAAACGGATTTCACTTTTTTTTTTTCATTTTCTTCTCTCTTTTCTAAAACCATTTTTCTATTATATATGTTTATTTAATATATTTATTAAATATATTTAATAATATTATTTATATAATAGATTTAATAATATTA